AAAATTTTGCACTTGCCACTGTGTTTGGGTGCTGTCAATGGAAAACATACAAATCAAAGCACCTCCAAAGTCTAGCAATGACTATTTCAATTGCAACTCTTTCAATGCTGAATTATGAAAGTATGACCCCCTAAAGAATCGCCACCTTATCACGGTGGAGGGGTTTGAGTGTCCCTGTGATCCTGGGAGCTATGTTGTCTGGGGCATTAGCCTCTGGCAGGGTCTCCCAAGGCAAATTGGTTCTGGGGGAGGGACCAGACAAAGACGATTCAGAGACCCAGATGAAAAACTTAAAAAGGAAAGCCACCACTTCGCCCGGAACGGGCTGCTGCCCAGAGGGCCCACCACCCACAGGGCAGAAGATCAGGGTCGGGTGCTATGCCCACCGAGTGGTAGGCAGGAGTGGGCGTCCTGGTGTACCGCTGCCTGGTGGCGGAGACTAGCTCTTGGGACGTGGAACGTCACATCAGTGACGGGGAAGGAGTCTGAGCTGGTGCGGGAGGTGGACCGTGACTCGCTAGATATAGTCGGGCTCACCTCCACACACAGCAAGGGCTCTGGATGCCAAAGGCTCTGGACATTGTCAGACTGTCATGGCTAGAGCGGTTTGCAGCCGAGTGCGAAGTGGCAGGGATGCAGATCAGGACCTCCAAGTCCGACGCCATGGTCCTCTGCCGGAAACTGGTGGATTGCTTCCTCTGGGTGGGAGGGGGAGTTGCTTCCTCAAGCGAGGGAGTTTAAGTATCTCGGGATTTTGTTCATGAGTGATGCGAAAATGGAGTGCGAAGTGGACAGGCAGCTCGGTGAGGCATCAGCAGTAATGTGGGCGCTGTACTGGACTGTCGTGGTGAAGAGAGAGCTGAGCTGCAAGGCGAAGCTCTTGATTTACCAGTCTATATACATCCCAACCCTCATCTATGGTCACGAGCTTTGGGTCGTGACCAATAGAACGTGATAGAGGATACAAGTGGCTGAAATGAGCTTCCTCCGCAGGATGGCTGGGCTCAGCCTTAGATATAGGGTGAGGAGCTCGGACATCTGGAGGGAGCTCGGAGTAGAGCCGCTGGTCCTTTGCGTCAAAAGGAGCCAGTTGAGGTGGTTTGGACATTTGATTCGGATGCCTACGGGGAGGCTTCCTCTGGAGGTTTTCCAAACACGTCCACCTAGGAAGAGACCCTGGAGCAGACCCAGAACCCGCTGGAGGGATTATACAAATGTAGACAAAATTGTTGGGACCCCTTGATTAATGAAAGAAAAACCCACAACGGTCACAGCAATAACTTGAATCTGACAAAAGTAATAATAAATAAAAATTCTATGAAAATTAAGCAATAAAAGTCAGACATTGCTTTTGAACCATGGTTCAACAGAATTATTTTAACAAATAAACTCATGAAACAGGCCTGGACAAAAATGATGGTACCCCTAGAAAAGACTGAAAATAATGTGACCATAGGGACATGTCCAATCAAGGTGTGTCCTGCAATTAGCATCACAGGTGTCTACAAACTTGTAATCAGTCAGTCGGCCTATTTATAGGGTTACAAGTNAAAATTTTGCACTTGCCACTGTGTTTGGGTGCTGTCAATGGAAAACATACAAATCAAAGCACCTCCAAAGTCTAGCAATGACTATTTCAATTGCAGCTCTTTCAATGCTGAATTATGAAAGTATGACCCCCTGATGAATCACCACCTTATCACGGTGGAGGGGTTTGAGTGTCCCTGTGATCCTGGGAGCTATGTTGTCTGGGGCATTAGCCCCTGGCAGGGTCTCCCAAGGCAAATTGGTTCTGGGGTAGGGACCAGACAAAGACGATTCAGAGACCCAGATGAAAAACTTAAAAAGGAAAGTCACCACTTCGCCCAGAACAGGGAAACTGGGGTCCCTTCCTGGAGCCAGGCCTGAGGGGGAAGCTCGCAAGAGAGCATCTGGTGGCTGATTCTTGGTGCCCTGTGGGTCTTGGTTGGACACCCCTGAAGAAGCGACACGGGGCCGCTGCCCAGAGGGCCCACCACCCACAGGGCAGAAGATCAGGGTCGGGTGCTATGCCCACTGAGTGGTAGGCAGGAGTGGGCGTCCTGGTGTACCGCCACCTGGTGGCGGAGACTAGCTCTTGGGACGTGGTACGTCACATCAGTGGCGGGGAAGAAACCTAAGCTGGTGCGGGAGGTGGACCGTGACCGGCTAGATATAGCCGGGCTCACCTCCACGCACAGCAAGGGCTCCGGAACCATTCTCCTGGAGAGGGGTTGGACTCTCTCCTTTTCCAGAGTTGCCCACGGTGAGAGGCACCGAGCGGGTGTGGAGATACTCACAAGCCCCTGGCTGAGTGCTGCCTTGTTGGAGTTCTCCCCAGAGAGGAAAATTGATGACAAATGGAAGAGACAGATGATACGAATGGTAACAAAAGAGCCCAGAACAACCTCTAAAGGCATTAAAGGTGAACTCCAAGGTCAAGGTACATCAGTGACAGATTGCACCATCCGTCGTTGTTTGAGCCAAAGTGGACTTCATGGGAGACGACCAAAGAGGACACCATTGTTGAAAACAAATCATAACAAAGCCAGACTGGAATTTNGCCCAGAACAACCACTGAAGACATTAAAGGTGAACTCCAAGGTCAAGGTACATCAGTGTCAGATCGCACCATCCGTCGTTGTTTGAGCCAAAGTGGACTTCATGGGAGACGGCCAAAGAGGACACCATTGTTGAAAACAAATCATAACAAAGCCAGACTGGAATTTACCAAACTGAATGTTGACAAGCCACAAAGCTTCTGGGAGAATGTCCTCTGGACAGACGAGACAAAACTGGAACTTTCTGGCGAGGCACATCAGCTCTATGGTCACAGACGCAAACATGAAGCATATGAAGAACAGAACACTGTCCCTACTGTGAAACATGGAGGAGGCTCTGTTATGTTCTGGGGCTGCTTTGCTGCATCTGGCACAGAGTGTCTTGAATCTGTGCAGGGTCCAATGAAATCTCAAGACTATCAAGGTATTCTAGAAAGAAATGTGCTGCCCAGTGTCAGAGAGCTTGATCTCAGTCGCAGGTCATGGGTCTTGCAACAGGATAATGACCCAAAACACGCACAGCTAGAAGCACCCAAGAATGGCTCAGAGTAAAACATTGGACTGCTCTGAAGTGGCCTTCTGTGAGCCCTGATCTAGATCCTATTGAACATCTGAGGAAGGAGCTGAAACATGCCATCTGGAGAAGGCACCCTTCAAACCTGAGACATCTGGAGCAGTCTGCTCATGAGGAGTGGACCAAAATACCTGCTGAGAGGTGCACAAGTCTCACTGACAGTTACAGAAATACAGAAAATTTTATTTCCCCCTGTGCAATGGCACACTTGCATGGTGTACACTCTGTGTAGTCTGAACATTTGGAAGACACGCAGACGTCACACAAGGGTCTACAGAAGTTTGGGGGTTGGGGGTTACAACAACCTTTTATTAAGAAGTCATCTCCACCACCTTTAGACTTGTCAGATTCCTTCCGTCTGGCCTCATGAAACTCAGAAAAGGAGTCTGAATTCCGGATGGTTTGGTCCGGCACTAGAAGGTTGAGGTATGTTTCGGTAGGCAGACAATCTTACAGTTCTTCACATCCCGCTGGTATCTGAGCCAACCTCTGAGATCATCCAGTTTGGTCTTTCCAGGAACTGAATGTGAGCAAGACGACACTGGGGAGGGATGGGCGATAGGCCTGAGCTCTTAGCCTGAAGCGAACACCACTTCTTCTTCCTCAGTGCTTCTTCCTCAATTTCATGTCACCAGTGTTGCTGTTTTCCTCAGTATCATGCAGAATCTTCGTTGCCCACCTCTGATCTTTATGAAACTTGAAATTCATGATTTTATCATGCATACTTCAGTTAGGAAAATTAGTATTTTTTTCTTTAGAATGTGTCTCCTCTAGCTGCGATCCAAGCCTGACCACCTCCAACTGTGGTTTGACTGATCTGATCAACCACCAAGAAACTCTCAACTTCCACAGAGTTATATTGCTATAAAGCATATCGAACACCTGCAATAATCTCAAGAAGAACCGAAAATGTCTTTTTTACAATGTGTATCAGAAAAACGTATGTAATACAGGATTAAAATGAATAATAGATCATACAACGTCACTAAGTCCTCTGAGTGGAACCAGTGGACATCTCTCCTGGGCTATCAAAATGTCCAGAAACAATCTTGGCCACTCCCTTGAACTTGTTATGCTAATGAGCCCACAACAATAAATCTAATCCAAAGATACAGTTCAGAGTCACAGAGACCGAAGGACTCGTCTCAGTAAGTTTGCATCGCTGGGTGTGGGGTGAAACAAACAACACTAACTGAAAATCTCTCTACAGAACATGGGATCCAGTTTTGTTTTATTCTCCTGTTCACAGTGTTACTGATGATCTATGAATGGAAACTAATTTCTCTGTCAACACCACTGATGATGCTGTTGAGAACAAACATTTCTGTAATGAGTCTGAGCAAACTGCTACCACTTCATACTTGTTATGTGTTGCTGTTGGCTCTTTATCAGTTCTTGTAACGTGTGGAAACCTTCTTGTAATGACCTCCATCATTTATTTCAAACAGCTCCACACTCCTACTAACTATCTCATCCTCTCCCTGGCTGTGGCTGATCTGCTTGTTGGGGTTTTGGTGTTGCCTTTCAGCACTATGCTGTCAGTAAGTTCATGCTGGCACCTTAAAGCCTTGAATGTACTTTGTAAGTTACGGGGCTGTTTTGATATGATTCTGATCACATCTTCTATTTTGAACTTGTGCTGCATCTCTGTTGACAGATATTTTGTAGTGTGTCAGCCTCTGACATATAGAACTAAAATGAATGTCCGTGTAACTACGATTATGATCCTGGTGAGCTGGACGGTTTCTGTTTTACTTGGAATTGGCACCACACTTCGAGGAATGAAACAACAGCTCTCTAACAGAAGGTGTAACTTTTTCCACAGCTCAAGTTCAACCGTCATGGGAGTTGTTTTCACCTTTTACCTTCCAGCTATTGTAATAATCACTCTCTACCTAAAGATTTTAACAGTGGCACAGAGGCAGGCACGCATCATCCACAACACTACAAAGTCTGTCAATAAGATGGAGAGAAAAGCCACCAAAACTCTGGCTGTTGTGATGGGAGTCTTTCTCATGTGCTGGACTCCTTTTTTCCTTTGNAAGTGGCTTGGATGGTCAAATTCAATGCTTAATCCGTTTGTATATGCTTTCTTTTACAGCTGGTTCAGAACAGCTTTCAGAATGATCATTTCTGGAAAAATATTTCAGGGTGACTTTTCCAATTCAAAGTTGTTCTGAATCCAGATTTAAATTGCTGTCATGCCACTATTAAATGTCCCTTTTCACTCCATGTTGTGTATTTATGTCCAAAATGTTGCATATATGCATGTTATGTCTAAATACAACCCACGCTTTGTGTACTGACATCTCTGTATCCTTGACTTTACCCAGCGATTAAAGAGAAGGTGCTGCCGTAAAAGCAAAGACTCTTGATTGTCCTGCATTGTTCACGTCAACTTCTTTACCATTTTGTTTTGTGTGCAGATGATGGGCCCTTAATATGTCTAAAATACAGTATCCATAAAATACAAAGTGCAGTATGGTAGATGTGTTCATGGAAAAAGAGTGAACAAAGCTTTAACAGTGATTTAGTGAAATTTAAATCCTGCTTGTTTCTGAGACTCTGTAAATCCTATCATTTATAGTATAGAAGCAGAGATGATTTCAGGAGAACAGATCAGCTTATTGTCTTGCTCATTAATACAAGCTAAGAAGTTGCCTCCACTGTACTGCTTTGAGCATCACATGAAAAATGAAAATATGAGCACAACACAATTTAAATGTTACCTAAAGCAATGAATGGGCACTTTGCCTTCCCTGGTAAGCAGCTTCACAGTGGCTGGGATTTATGAAATAATATGCACATGCAGGGGTTTTAGTCTGAAGACAGTGCATGCATGCTCTACTCGTAGTTTAAGGTATGCACATATATTAGTGTTTAGACATCACATGCATCTGTTTTAGTCTGCAAGGCTGAGTCAGCCTTCTGAGGGTTCACATATATTGTGTGTTAGTTCTTAACAAGTGATTAAGAACAAACCTGTTTGTGTGAACTGTCAGCACAGATTACTATGATGTTTAAAGTCCACTCGTGTTCATAAATAAGTTAGTGAGCTTAATGAGAAATTAATCATTTGTGTGGGATCTTAAGACAAAAACACGTCTTTTATTCATAGCTTAAAAAAATAAAGGATTTGAAAAAAAATACATCTACTGCACATTGACAACTCATCACATTCTTACAGTACACATCATTCAACAATAATGCTTATCTACACTAGATTTTTTTTTTAAAGAAACTGAACATTACAGCATTTGTTTTCTATCAATAGCTCTTTTTTTCCTTCATTTTTTTCTTTTCCTTTCACCATCACAGTGCAAAATAGCTCTTGGCAAATGTGGAAGCATCCATAAAAACAACATTAGAAGTACTTCACTCTCTGAATGAAATCCTTGAAATTCGGACTGAACTACGACAAACACAGCAGAGCTTCCATGTGCTTGTCAGTTTGCACTTTGGCTGCTCTTAAATTGACATACACTAGGTTGCAAAACTGCAGAAATGAGCAACTGATTTGTTGACACAAAGACTGCAAGACTTCAAATTGAATTTACCAAATTGCATTTTTTTGGGTGTAGTACTCAACAGATACTTTTTCAATCAGTGTCCTTGTAGACACATCCAATTCAAAAGAAGCTAATTCGTTTTGTACTTGGATATGTTGAATATATGCTTAATTTTTACATCCGGGTTTGAACAAAACTACATAAATGGCCAATGATGCTAAACAATAACAATGGCGTTAAATAAAGACGTACTGACAGCAAGTTTTCAATGGAAAAGGTGCCATATTAGTGTCTTAATGCAACACAATGTTAAAGTACACCTTCTAGATTTCCTCTTTTAACAGTGTTAACATTTCACGACAATGTGCACAAAGTGCTGAGTTGTACTTTGTCCAATCATCAGCTTCTTCAGTAGCAGTCTAGGGTCATCTGCTTCTGCTTAAGGGACATAGTAATGCCGACATTTCGTCATGACAATACTTTATACGAGTTGCAGCCTTCTAACAAGTTCCTTACTAACTGCTCTGGTGGTTGTGCAACATACGTGTTACCAAACACTGCTTCAAGTATGAGCAAGTGGCAGCTCTGAAACAATATTATTTCACAGCTTCATTCACAAGATTGTTTCACTGCACTTTACGTTTAAGATATATTGCACTTGCTTTCCTTCCGCATAGCTGTTTTTATAATAAAATAAATGAATCATTATTGAGCACTAGTCATTTATATTAATAAATGTCTCTGATGCACCACTGCCATTGGAGTTTGAAGCGTTTGAAACATGGTAGATTTCTGAAAGACAAACAGCAGAATGTCAAGCAGTCAGTTAACTCAAGTAGACTCAGCAAAGCTGCTTCATGTAAAAAGAAAAAAACGTACCTCTTCTTCCACGGAGTCGATTTATCAAATTCATCCCACCGAAAGAGGAAATGCCACCACTTGTGCTCTAAGGTAGAAACAAATCCCAAAGTATGAAACTGAGTGAGTGTATTTTCACGATTCAGTTAGAAAAGGTAAGACGCATGAACACTGACAGGAAACCTGAGAAACTGTAAAGTGCAAATAGTTTTATCATATGAACAAAAACAATAACTTACTCTTGTTTGGTTAGAGCCAGAGGTCGGTGTGGGTGTCTTTCTTGAGAGGATAGCACGGATCTGCAGACCCAACGTAATTCATGTCAAAGGCAGAAATCATTCACATTTCAGGAAAGGTTAGTTCACAGGTTCATTTACTGGGAGAAAGCAGTTTTATATTTGTTGCCAGTAAGATGAGAAGCCTGATGCTGCAACACTAAGGAAGCTACACACTTCATTCATATATATGTATATTCTTTTATAATTATTAGTGGTATTAACTTACAGCATCTAGTTGAATGCAACTGTAACATCAAAGCGTATTCATTTTATACAGACTAAATTATCCAGGTTAAAAAAAAAAAGTCAATTGAGGTTCGAGGTGCTAATGAGTGGATTTTAAACTTTCAACATGGCTACCTGCCCCTGACCCGCCCCCTGGCTCGCAGTCTTAATGCTAAGCTAAGCTAACTGCCTCCTATCTCTTCATATATTGTGCACAAACACAAAAATGGCCGCCACATGTACCTGACTTCAGTGTTTCCATTTTATCTTGTGTAATACTTCAGCACCACTATTAAACTTGAAAAGTGTTTTCGTGCCATTACATTTATTTTACAAGTTACAGTTACTTTTTACTTTGCAGCCTGCATGCAAAACCTTTAATAAAAATGTATTGCTATATACTCTATTTCAAGTTTTAGAAAAATGCAGCAGCTCAAAAAAAAAAAAAGGCTGATTACATGTTGTTACATTAGTTAAAGGTCTTTTTGTTTTGATGGTTTTTTAGCAGGTTCAAATACGGTAATGTACAGTCACACCTTGCACAGGAACTAACTATTATTTGTAAAAACATATAAATTTAAAATGTATTCATTTACATGACTTTGTGAGACAAAATGTAAAAACTGATTTTTAAAAAAATCCCTTATATGCTTAATTTTTTCAAACAAATGATTACAAATAAGAAATTATTATATATTATTTTCCAAAATGTCAACCTGTTCCATTAAGAGTCAACATACCTTTGAATCCAGTAATGTTCCAAACACTAAAATGAAGAAACCCTGAAGGAAAAAAAACAAACATTTCTTTATCATTGCAATGAAAGAACACAAAAATTAAGTACACAAAAGTGCTGCATTTTAAGTAGGGATGCACCGATACCAGTTTGTGGCAAGCAGCATACAAGTACTTACATTTGGATACTTGCCAATACTTGGTAAAAATAACCATGAAACTGCTTTGCATGTAGAACGAATCTAAGGATCAAATCAATCCTCTGGTAGTTTGAACAGATTTTGCTGACAATGCTAATCCAAATATCAGCCGAGAGGCCAGTGCCTGAAATGTACTGTAATAAGCTGCTGATGCGTTTCTTTTTGTTTTTCCCCACTAAACTGTGCTTTGTTCGTACGGTTCTCTATGATGATAGCTGGGAATTTTGTACTTTGACTCCAGTACGCTGAGAAAACAGCAAAATCCCATATTGTCTCCAACTGACAACGGCTGCTCATGAAGGGCTTCTGACATTTTTACACACTTTGGACATTTTCTCTTGCTCCTTACGTTTTGCTTAAAGCGTCATCAAACCCCTTGAATTTTGCACATTGCTGATTATAGAGATGTTTCCTCATACTGCTAAAAGGAGCCATTTTGGATTTTAAATCTTGATTATACTCCAGTGCAAGTGCTCAGAAAGACAGCTGTTGATGCCCACTGATGCATACTTGTTGGTATACACTTTTCCTTGCCCATGGGAGTCCATTTGGAAGACTTTAGTAGAAACAGGTGCAATGGTTGTTAGTTATGTTTTCTGTCCATACACACCATTACCCTGATAGCGTGGAGTCTTGCAGACTTGGAGAGATGACAAGGACAGTATACCAATGGCCTTCCTTTTGTCATCACTGCCAACCCGAAAATACTTCCAACTACTGCACTCCTTCGCCTACCTGCTTAGCTTACCAGAAATTAACGCTACGTTGCCATACAGGGGTATCAAATGCAGTTGTATGCGGTTGTTTCAGTGCATGAACACGGTGTCAGAATAAAACCAGAAAAAAAGTATCGTGCATCCCTTATTGTAAGAATTGAGTTTCCATGGGTGCAAATACCTGTAATGAATTGAAGAATGCAAAGGAAATATGGATTCCTATATTTGTTGGCGATATCATGGTTCCCACTCCCAAAGACCAGGTCACCCCAAACAACGGAGTCAAAATGACCAAACATCTTATGATGACCACCAGGGTATGCTTTTCATCTGTCTGGGCAGCATCCCCCACACCTCGCCTCAGCATTTTGAACAAGACCACGATGATGATCAAAACATTAATGAAAGCTATGGTCAAGGCAGGTATCACCATGGCCAGCAGGGCTTTTGTCTTGATCCAGTTGAGCCAACAAGCTTCGTTTGTCCTTATGTATCCGTTTCCTGGTGCTGTGACGGCAACCGTAATAACGGCTATAATCAGAGGGCAGCCGTAACCCAAAATGAAGCCAATGGCCAACATGACTGACTTTGACATGTGCGAAAAGACCATAACTGTTCTGTAAAAGAGCAGAAGGCCTGACACAAGCATCCAAAAGAACAGAGCAAGGTAGAAAAAGTGCATGAAAAATGTTGCCGTGCTACATGGTCCAACTGGAACTGTGTAGTCCTCTCCTGGATCTTCAAGGGGGTTCTTAGCGATGGAGGCACCAATGATAAAACAGATGTTAGCGATCAGCAGAGACAGCGCGGTGTTAACGATGGACACGTGACGCATGAAGGCAGTGCTGTTTCTGGTGATGTCCTTCCAAACGTATCCTTCAATGATGAGACATATGACTAAGCTTGCCAGAGATATTCCAACTCCAATATAAGTGATTATATCCAAGGCTTCTCTTATTGATGGAGGGACGTCAGTTGCCATCAGTATTGAGAAGGACGTCAGGTGGTTGCAGGTGCAGGTTACTGTGTTATTTATGTCGGAAACAAACAAACAGCCCTCATCATCCCAAGCGCCAAGGTTATCAAAAAGTGTGAAATTCCAGAAGACACACTGCGGGTTCAGTGACAGCGATTCGTTTAACTTGTTGTAGCTCAGAGTGACGTTCGAAATTGTTTGATTTATTGTCACAAGCAGCACAGCAGCGTTGATGGCGTTGTCAGGGGCAGTTTCATTGGCGGTAGCGTTGAAGAGGCTGACATCGAAGGAGGAGTTCCTTGTTGGCATAACGTTATTAAGGGTGGAGAGAACGATGGTGGTGATGAAGACGTTGGAAAAGTTAGTGTTTGGAATATTTATGGCCACGCTGGAGTTCAGCATTGCATTAAAAGAGTTACTGAACACAGTTCTGTTGAGCTGGATCCGTTCAGTGTTAATCGTAAACGTCCCGTCCAGTCTATCGGAGAGTGTCTCCAGTGAACCCAGCAGTTCTGAGCTGGCGTTTCTGGTTTCATTTGCATTCAGAAACGCCCAGGACTCGACTGCGTCGTTACCAATGATGACATCAACGGTTTCTAGTACATCCTGCAAATGAAGAGATGTTTCACTGTAAGACAACAAACTCCAACAAAAGGTCATAAAGTATATTCGTTGCCATTATGAAAGGTAACCAAATTAATCTTTTACTTGCCTGCATGACATTTTCATTGACAACCGTTGTTACATTAGCGACGGTGTTTATGATGTCAACAATCGCAGATATTGTCTCAGATGAATTTGAAACTTCTGCTTCTTCTTCCTTGACAGTCGCACTAAGATTCCCAACAAATTCTGGCACTGTTTCCAAAATCAGGTCCTGAAAGAATGAAATGGATAAGGAAAGTTTCAAGCATTTTTTTATTTTATTTTATTCATTTTGATGTTGCAATTTAAACCACTTTTGTGTTAGAACTTTTAATTCTATACTGTTTGCCTCTTGTATATAAAAAAATCTGGTGACACCCAACCCTCTCCCAAGTGGTGTCAATAGTATTTAACTGCATACACAAAGCTGTTGGGTACATTGTTGAATCGCCTACCTGCGAACCAATCAATAATCTCTTGATTTCTATTATAATGCAGGTGTCTTGCTCAAGTCTCCACTGTCCGTTCTGACACCGTGCCGTCTTTGCCCCCTCTTGATCCTCATCACACCTTATGCTCGCTCTGTCGCCTTCTCGTCCAGTCCCATACTGAGTGTCGTTGCAAGCAGCAGCTTGAGAGTTAAATAATCAATTAGTCAAAAGGACTGTAAAACAGCAAAGTCAGGGTGCAGTTAGATTGCAAAGATTGCTCTTACATTCGACGAATATGGTCAATGTTGTCGTCTGTTCAAAGCCATCGAGGTCATCAACCCTACATGTGAAAATGCTTTCTCTTGTCTGTGATCCGTTGCAGTTTTCTATTGTGTAATCATACTGGATGCAGTTGCCTTCAACAGGACCTGGGAACATTAATCATTGTTGTTAGTAAGAAATTGTTAATAGGCGAGAGGTCCAACTTTTGGATAGATTGAGCAGATTCAGTTCTTGCTTACGTGACGATAAAAGGCTCGTGCCGTCAAACCATCCGACTGAGTAGGAGGACTGCACACAACACTGAAGTGGTTGCACCGCTCCGTCTTCGCATTTAACGGAAATTCTACTCTGAAGTCGCACAATAGGAGCGTCTCTGATTGCAGCATTTGTCACAACTCCCGTTCGGATAAAATGCATAGCTGTGCCCTCCAGTGTACATTCGTAGAGTCCTGTGATTAAAACAAGTAGGTATTACTGACTGCATTGGTATGCTACAAACCAACGAAGAGCAGTGATTTATAATCGCTATAATATTAAATTATGGAAATGATGGCAATATTGCGAGAGGAATTATTTTTAGTCAGTGTACTCTAACACAGCAAAAAAATATCATTACTATTATTTTTTACAACATTCTGATCCCAAACAACAATATATGCAGGCCATTTTCAAATGCAGGATCTTGCGATTACTTTAGGGCAGCCTGAACCTTTGTCTGTGTGAATGCAGGAACTGCCACTGCAGAACCTCTTTAGGGCCATTTTTAGGGAAGAAAAGTTGCTACTGTGGGTAGGTATTTCTGAGCACCCCTTAAAAGCTGCTGGGTGGGACAAAAAGCTGAGTTGGGAGATAAAACGAGAGATCACTGTTGACGGTGTAAAATAAATGTTAACATAGTTTTGGCCCCTCAAAGTTAACATCTCGGTCGAAATGGAGACAGAAAGGCTGAAAGGACCACCTTGCATCTGCCCCAAGTTCCTGCAATGGAAAGCTGCCTTTTGCAACTATGTCACAGTAGTGATGTGAGAATCCAGCTTCATATGCTGTATAAATAGGTAGCAACTATAGTATTAAAATATAAGGCAATTTCTTGGTTACTGATTTGTTACAACCATATTAGGCTCGCGATTACTTACCAGCATCAGCAGGAATGACGTTGTTAACTGTAAGCGTGGACTGATTGCCAATGGTGGTTGCTTTAATTCTGTCTGAAGTAATTTTTAGCCCTTTAAATTTCCACACAGAACCAGAAATTGTTCCCACATCAGTGCCGGGGCTGTCACACGTTAGTGTCATGGTTTGACCGGTATAAGTCAAGTCTGGAACTTTGAGTGGAGTTGGACCTTTGAAGAAAGTCAAGAGATCAGTTAGGAATTCAGTCAAGTTAAAGACAAACTAATAAACTAATGCTTTTGAACTTACTTTTGACCTGTGCAACAACTGGCTCAATGACAGCCGCAACTGACTCCATGGCTTCTGGGAGGTTTTTATTTGCTTCAGCTATTTCAGTTGCATTCACTTCTGTTACCTGAACTACAAAATCTGCGATAACACTTCCTGGTCTATAAGAACAAAAAAAAAAGTTGTGTTGTGAAATGTATTATGACTCCCAGCTCCAAATTATTAGAATTTGTTTTTTCTTGTTAATGTGAGAACCACTGTACCTGAATCCTGTTACAAAAGGTCTGATAAGCCCATTGATGCCGCTGTAATGGCTCTGTAACTGTAGGAAAGACATGAAGAATAAAGTCAAAATAAGAACACAAAGAACTAACAATCAGAATCGATATGGTGTCAACATTGCACTTACCACTGAATTAATCCTTGATTCAAGCTCTTTGTATGCAGAACTCGATTTATCGTTCAAGTCTTCAGTGAATTCCAAGTCTAATCTCATTGATACTGTCACATTAATTCCTGTTGGTTTAAAAGAAAAATGAAAAACATGAGCAAAGTCTGGATAAACATTTCTGTTTTCTTTGGGATGTAGAGTGCAGGCACACACACAACACAGCAAATCGCATATACACAAGACGACAACAAAGGAAATTATACACAGCCACATTATTTGAAAGAATTCCCAAATATCATTGGAAAAAGGAGCTAGCAAAGTTTTATTAATATCTCCAGAAGTCTGAAAGGCGCTGTAGTAGACAGTTTCCAGTGGCTTAACATTAGTATGAACATACAGCATATCTCTGTAATCCAGTGTAGACAGGATGGTGGCTTCTCTGTTATTGAAGGAGAAAAAAAATCTACATTCTGACATCTGAGTCTAATTTAAATTTTGATGTCAGAGCAGTATGAGTTTTGTAGGACAGTCTTTTTACAAATATATATATATAATGCTTTACTTTATTAGATCTCAGTTTGGGGTGGACTGAGAACATGCACAAGTTGTTCCCTTTGTGAAGTCTACAAGAAGTCCTTATGTTAAACTTAGAGGTCTGCAGGTCATTAAAAGCAGCCTGTACTCTGAAGAAAGCCGGGTTTACAGTGGATCGGATATCTTACCCTGAACAAAAATATAAACGCTTTTGTTTTTGTTCCCATTTTTCATGAGCTGAACTCAAAGATCTGAGACTTTTTCTATGGACACAAAAGGCCTACTTCTCTCAAATATTGTTCGCACACTTGTTGAAATCTGTGTTAGTGAGCACTTCTCCTTCGCCGAGATAATGAAGAGGAGTGGACCAACATTCCACACCCTGATCAACTCAATGTGAAGGAGATGTGTTGCACTGTGTCAGGCAAACGGTGGTCACACCAGATACTGACTGGTTTTCTGACCCCCCCAGACAGTAAAACTTCACATTTCCAGTGGCCTTCTATTGTGGCCAGCCTAAGGTACACCTGTGCAATAATCATGCGTCTAATAAGCATCTTGATATGCCACACCTGTGAGGTGTGGTTAGATTATCTCAACAGAGGAGAAATGCTCAATAACACAGGTTTAGAATAATTTGTGAACAGTATTTGAGAGAAATAGGCTTTTTGTGTACATAGAAAAATCTGAGATCTTTGAGTTCAGCTCATGAAAAATGGGAGCAAAAACAAAAGTGTTGTTTATATTTTTGTTCAGTGTACAATACAGAATCATGAGCTGAGAATCTACAGAGCTGAGTTAGAAAAAAATAGTATTTATGTACAGAGGAAGGAGCTGCTGTAAATCTTTGAGGGACACATTTATTAACCATCCGTGAACTTGATTTAAAACTATCCTCAACAACAGTTTTACTCTGACAGATATGATTTGAAACAGTTCAACAGAATCATCCAAACCCACAGAGAGCAGCTTATTTACAGAAATGGTTTTATCAACAGTGTCAAAAGCCGTCAGTGGCTCGACAAATAACACAGCACAGTGTTGCCTTTAAATCAAGTGATTCAACAATGTCATCCACAACAGCAGGTGTAGGCATGAATGTCTGACTGAAATAGCTGAAGTGCATCAGCACTCCCCCTGGGAAGTCATGTACTTATGCACCAACTTATGGTTATAGTCTGTTACTGAATGTTTGCAACAGAGCATTCAGAGAGTTCAGCAAGGTGGCTGGATTAATAAGTCTTCTGCAAGGCTGGTATTTTACATCAAATTAAAAGTTACTGCAGGTAATCTATCTACATAAAACCAGTGCTCCTGCTCACAGGTGATGAGTGGGAATACAATCCAGTATAACAAAATGTATAACTTCATGGAGTGTCAGTTAATCTCATAGTGGAGCAAATGTACATGTTGAGCCTGTTGAAGGACTGACAAAAGATTTCAAAGCACTCTAACATAGTGGTATTTAAAACACCTGATAGAAAAGGTGACATTTGGTTGAGTTTGTTGTAAATGTCAAAAACACTGATGTAAACACAAAAACATTACCTGTAGGCGTGGTAGTGGCTGTGGTAGAGGCTGTGGTAG